GGCACATTTGTAACATCTGCATAATCAAATATATGTTATTTTATGATCTATTGCTGTGGCCTGGAAATTAGAAGCATGATTTTCATTTTAACTTCGTATTCTTAATCAAATTCATTATAATCATAGTACCTTATTCCCAATTGAGTAGAGAAAATTGCTCTAGGAAATATTTAAACATCAATCTAAAACATGGACATTGTTTTTCAGAAACTTGGTGTCTGAGGCTAATTCTTGAAAAATAACATTTTCCTAAAAATATTTTTACTGCTAAGGAGTTTGTTGGGCTCCCTAGCGTGTGAAAAGAAATCTGAATTTTAAATATATATAAAAGACCAATATGTTTAATTTATGTTATTGTGTATTACAAGAGGTTTCCTTCCAGACTTTTGTCCTCTCAGATTTGGGATGAAAATTGGTGGCCGAATGTCCATATTCCTAACATGATCACAACTGTTGTTGTAAAAATAGCTCTTCTTGGTAGTGTGTGATGCTTACAGACTCTTAAAATTTATTCAACAAAACAACAGGTTGAAGACCTTAGTGATTCCCATTCAGATACAGAGTAGGAAGCAGCTAACTGGATGTAGATGTAACAAACACCCATTTTTGTTCTTTATTGCTTCTAGGCTCAGAAACTATTTCTAGAATTCTTCTCCACAAAGAAGCTGTTCCAGGGTTCCCTTTAGAAATAGTTGTAGCCAAAGACAATGAGTTCCTGCTGTTTCAAGCCTTCTTCCTTTGGAGGACATTAAGGTATTTCTTCAATTCCTCAGCTGATTCAATACAAGATGAGATGGAATTTCAGGGTCATCCTGTAAGCACTACTTGATTGAATTTTCCTTTGACCGAGGCCCACCTTGTGCTAGCAATATCCTCATTCTCCCAAACAAGGACATCCTAAACCATTTCTCTCCTTTGAAAAAGGTCTGCTAATTCATCTCCCTACCGAACTAGTTTAAAGGGGGTGGTTTTCTTTGTTGTACAGTGACGTCTGTAGAAGTTTTGGCAAGGCCTCTATTCTCAAACCAAACTCTGTTCACCAATCTTGCCAAGGACAGAGGATTGCCATCATCCGTCCAAAAAGGCATGTACTCTCTGGCATGATTCCTGTGCCATACCCCCATGTAATACAAGAGCATAGAAGTGTAGAATTTAAATGAGAATCTTCTGGTCTGTGGACATCATTTATTTTCTGTATGCAAAGAGCACTGTTCCATAGACTGGAGAAAAGTGGACTACCAACCATTTGTGATAACCACATTCCAGGAAACTATAACTTAGAGACAAGCGGAGTACATGTCTTATGTATTTCCCCTAATGTGTCCTCAATACACAAGCATAGTGTGATACTGATTCTAGGTTCTCTAAAATAACCTCTTTTCCCACTGAGAATTTCCTTGTATTGAAATATGTGTTTAAAAAATCCAGCCATCTCTTTGATCATTATTATTTCAGGATTGTAAATGCAGTGTTTATGTAAAATACTTTCATTCGGGATGATGTCAAATATGATTCACTTTGGTGTCATTACTCAAAACACGGAATTGAATTTCAGTTTCTCACAGCACTTCTTTCTCGAAGAACTACCCTGATGTAGTGTGACTAGTTCTGAGATTACATATTAATACATTGGACTGAAATCAAATTCTCAAATGTGTTGGATAAGATCAGATTTTTTTTTTGTAGATCATTTATTCCTGCATGTTTCCTTTGTAATGTTGATCTCACAGAAAGAGAACTATTATAGATACTGACTTACTTGATGGAAAACTGAGCAGTAAAAATGTTGGGAGAATGATGAAAAGCAATAGGATGTAGGAAATGATTTCAGATAAAATATTAGGTGACACTGAGGGGCCTACAGATACATCCATTATGAATCAGGTTAGTCAAGGGACAGAATCACAGCAGTAGGGACCCAAAAAATGTGTCACCACTGGGCTTTTAAAATTTGTCCCAGTTTCTCTCCATGTAGAAAGAGGATATTTATTTGTCAAATGTAGTCAAATGAAGGACCAAGTGTTAAGATGCCTTTCAAAAAATTAGACTTCTGTCTACAGTTACTGAATCGCAGTGAATATTGTTGGCGTCAGCCTAAAGTATCAAGGGGAAATTGAATAGTTCCAGGGTAGATTGACAGTTGTCATAAATCAATGATTTGTTCACATTTTCTGTTTTAATATTAAATATTGGAGGTGTAAGAATTTGTGGTCTGTACACTTAGCTGTTTGTTTCATTAATGTGGGTCATAAATGAGTGCAAAAATGTTAACTTTGTAGGGACACAAAATAATTTCTCACCTCTTGCATGTGACCACCTTGTCAGAAGCCCAGCAGGCTTCCGTACAGTAGTAAGACTCGCTTTACCCAAACACCTACAGTGCGCATCTCAGGACCAGCACCTATCTAGCAGATGCATTTGTTTTTCATTGGTTTGATGGATCAAAAGCTACGATGTGGAATGCAGGAGGGAAATGTTTCCCATCCTGGAGAGATAAGTGTTGTTTGCATGTCTGTGGCTGCACATCGCTTGGATCAGGCATGGAACTGTTCACATCAGTGTATTTTCCCTTCATCTTTTTAGCCAAAGATTATAATCCTGATCCTACTCATTAATCATAATATGTCCTCAAGATAGCACAGGCATCACTGCTGAGGGAAAATATCGTTTAGAAATGAAAGATCATCTTCATAACATTGGACAATATGTTCTCTTAACAGATGCCCACAGCTTAGTGAAAATAAAATTCCATACCACCCCATGGTTACTATGCATTTTTGGTGTCAGTTTAATCTTTCCCATTGTATATTTCTCCATGCTACATTTTCTGAAGGCAGAGGTATCAGATAAACTTCATATCTTAAAGATCGGTGAAGAGTGAGTACAAGGTTCTTCTGGTCTGTGTAAATAAGCTTCAGTCTTGTTTTTTAACCTCTGAACTATCTATTATGGCAGCACATGCAGTCTCCTAATCCTTGGTCGAAGAACTCTCCAGAACATAGAACTCCTTCTCACCAGGACAACCTATGATTGGTTTACTTAGAGCTGATAGAAGTTTTCCTGTCTTAATACTTGTGTTTAGAATGATTTTGAGATGCCGGGTGTGGTAGCACATGCCTGTAATCCCAGCACACAGAAGGCTAAGACAAAAGGATTGCTTTGAGTTTGACGACAGCCTGAACTACATAGCAAGCCTCTGTCCCAAAAAAAGAGAAAAAGAAAGAATAATTTTGAGAAACAATGGCTGTGTTGTGGCTGAGGGCTGGAAGAGAAGCATTATTTTTGGTGGCTAACGAGCATAGTGATAAAAAGGAAAATGAAGAGGTTGAAAATCAAAAATGTTTATGTTATGGTAAATTTTAAGAGAACATAGGAAAGAAATGATGTCTTATACTTTTTATGCTTATAGTTACCTGTCAGAAAGAATACTTTAGTCATTGAAAAATTAGAAATTCTATAGTAGTGGAAAGTTTATATAAAAAATTCAGGAAGATGCTCTTTAAAACATATGTTGCAATAAAAGCAGAGAAAACACAGTTCACACGTCATACGTATTTTTATTGGGAGAATGCTGTCAGAGCATCTCTTTCCTAAGTCATCATTGTCTCCTGCCTGTGAAGTGTTGAATCACTGTCCACTTTTAGTAGGTGGATTAAAATGTAGAACTCTTGATCGTAGGAGTGGCAGCTAAATTTTGGTCGCTCATTTTGGTCTGTCTTCCGCCGTGACAGGAGATGAAATTGGAGAGGACAGTGTGGGCTAATGGATAGAGTTGGACAGGGGGCCAGGAAACACTGTTCTGTTCTATTCCCAGCCTGCTATTGGTTGGTTGCTGTGCAAACTTAGATAAGCCATTACTCTCTCTGCACCTCATGTTTTCCATCTGTGAAAACAGGTGCAAACATTCTGTGCTTGGCTCCTTCACGAAGATGTTGTGAGAAACAGCTTACTTTGAAGAAGTTCGTAGTATCTTTTGGTCAAAAAGGTGACACATCAGTATAAAAACGGTCCCATATCTGTTCACCACAGAGCAGGTACCATTAAACAGGATATGCAGCAACTAAGAATGGGATTTAGAGTCAGATTGCCTGAGTTCAAATCTTGGGCCCACCACTTGCTACTGCGGTGACCATGGGCATGTGAGGGCACTCTGTTTCCTTATGAAGGGGATGATAATAGTGGTCACCTACTAGAGTATGCAGAAGCTTAAAGCATTATGAACAGAACAGTAGACATTGTATAAAACACAATGCGCTTTATGTCAGTGTGTGTAGTAACTATCGCTCCCCAGAGCAGCTCTTCATTCTCAATGTGAAAGTTAAAGCATCCCTTTCGATCTGTTTCTTCTGTGCCTTTCTTCCCAGCATCCCTGCTTGTTCTTTCTCCTGGATTCTTGTGCTCTCCATACCACACCCACAAGCCCCTGAGCCTAGTGGGTAAGCTTTTAGTAACCACTACCCATCATACCATCTATCATAAGTAAGGGAGTGTCACATAAAAGATAAAAGAGTGCACAGTGAAATCATTGACATTTATCAGCTGTGTATTGATGATTATAAAAAAATAACTCCCAGACCTCAGGAAAAAAACAGAAGAACATTCAACAATTTAAATGGAGTTCGTTCTAACCTCTTGTCTGTATTCCTTAGCAGTAACCATCAGAAGGATTGTATGAGGCAACCAAAATACAGAGATTCCTCACACATAAGAAAGAGTAGCTGGGGTGTAGCTCAGTGGTGGAACCCTTGCCTCATGTACGAGTCCCTGTGTTCAACCCCCAGCAATAAAAACAAAAAAGAAGTGGAGCATTCACATTTTCGAAAATCTGAATTAAAATAATTTGTTTCAGGGGTAGTGATGAGTATAAAAGTTTAGAATTTGATGAATATTATCCATTAGATTTTTGTAACCTGCTGTAGGATGGGACTTCAGAGATTGAATAGCATCTAAGAAGTAATCATATGTTGCATTGACTTTTTTCCCCCCTTTTTCATTATTAGAACCAACCTACATCACAATCGATCCACCTGCCTGCGGGGAGTTATCAAACTGCACTCTGACGGAGAAGGACTGCATTTATGGTTTCAAACTCGATCGCAGTGGTTGTCGAACTTGTCAGTGCAAAAATAGTGAGTAGACAGAAGACTGTATTTTCCTGCAACCCTAATATGATATTGTCAAATATATGATTGAATATCTTTTGCACTCTGTTCACACATTCACTTGACAGTGTTTACAAAAGGGCGGAGATTTTGTTAACACAAACAAAGGCACAACCGTCTGGGGCAGAAGAGCCGCCCCTTCGTTCTGGTTTTCATCTTTGCTTCATTGTATGTACGAAGTCCTTGCTGTCCACTGGATTTGGGGATGAAGTCCCAACAGGCTTCGGACTGTGGCCTTCAGCCACTCACTGGGCTCCCTCGACAACACCCTTGCCAGGGTTATCAGATGACAAAGAAGTCCCTTTCCACACATGGTAGCCATGCCTTTAGAACGAGCTTCACACTGTCGATCCCAGTTCTCCTTCCATGGACATTCCGACCTGTACACGTTCTCCTGGCCGTGACCTCTGAAACTAGATGAGTCCAGGCGGCTGGTATGCCCTACAGGCTTAAAACTATATTGAGTTCCCCTGATTCTTCTACCGTAATAAACGTCTCAGTATCCTTCACCATCCCTCGGGTGACAGGGCTTCTGGAATTTACATGGTCTTTTCCATTTTCCGACACACAGTGTGTCATTGTCCTTACACAAAATGTGGCTCAGAAACAAAATATTCCCACGTTTGGCCTGATCAGTGCAACACAGTGTGTTGTCTAACTTAGCATGAACTCCTTGAATTGTACCGGGTAGGCTAACACCGAGTTATAAGCAGCTGGGATCACTCGGTGCATTTTACTGGATCATGGCTGTTACATGGTTCTGCATTTGAACATTTGCCTTTTTTAATCATACATATTTAGGGGTACATTGACCAGAAATGATGCTACTAGATTTAAACCATTTTCCAATTTGTCGGGATATTTTTTAATTTTGATAATACGGTCTTTGTGCCTTCTATCATATAGTAAATAAGTACACTGTATATGTCTTCATCTAAATCATTGAATTAAATTCCATAAAATCAAGAACAGAGCCCCATAATATGTCACTGAGCACAGTCTTCACACCTCAAGGGGTTGTAGTTAGCTGACAAGGTGTCATCTCCCTCTCCACAAGAAAGTCTAAGGCACAGTGCCTGGTCTCTTGCCTTAAGTAGGATGCATTGCACGCTCAGCTTCCCTTTGCTCGAAACCTTATTTTGTAACTAAGCTGAAGCTGGTAGGGAACGGCTTCTTTTCCTGAACCCGTGATGGCTCTTGGTGGTCAGTGCTTTGTTTTCTAATTTCCAAAAGTCGCAGGTGTAACACTTCTTTCTGAAGAATTTCAGTTTGAAAGAATCTGTAGTGGTTAATGTCAAGCTTTGTTTTCTGTAGTTTGCAGAAATCTGTGTTGCTTTGGCTTGATATTTGGTCTGTTTTCTAAAATCTCCTTGTTCTCTCTGCTCTCTCCCAAAAGTAGGCAGCAGTCCTATAATAAGCAGATTCTCTGGGGGCCTCGGGGCATGGTAATCCTAGGCGCAGAGGTTTGAACTTCGTGAGCATCTGTAGATGCTTGCTTACTGATGTGTTGGTTATCTTGGGCTTAACGTTCCTCTTAAACTTAGTTGTTCATCGCTGGTTTGTAAGGTGTTTTTGATGAAGAAGATACCGAGTAGGAGTTGAGTAAATTCTGTGCCCCCAGTTCCATGTCAGCATCACGTTATCTGAATGGTGGAATTAGTGCTAAAAAAGTTTGTAAAACAGATTTTTGTGCTTGTAATTGCAGTTGCTGCCTTCTTTAAATTTTCTGTGAGCTTCTGCCCACTTAGGACTGGCCTGCCTTCCTGCAGTGGACTCTCGTCTTTTGTACCTGCCTTTAAAGAGCCAAGCTCACTGGAAGGTTGCCTTGGCAGCCACATTTGTTTACATAAATGACCAACCTTGTCAGTTTCACCGAACATAATTGATGATTGCATCATGAAGTGTTTATATTTCAGTCCTTCTAGTGCCTCTTCAGCTATACGTTGCATCTTAGACACATGATCATACCTAAATTTTTTCCTAGACATTTAAAAGTCTAAAAATACAGGTTTCATTATGCCTAGTCATGTCACTGGTGTCCTGAGTTTTGCTGTGATAAAATGTTGGCCCCTGATCATGCTTATATAGGAATCCTGTTGCTTCATGAGGAACTTTATCGTTAAGTCCAGAGAAACAGTATTCACTCAGTTGTCACTGGAGCGAGTCAGAAGGTGGTAACTGATCTTTCCAGTTGAGACTTAGGAAGATCTTCTCTGCCACCTTGAGCTAACGTTGATTTCTGACTTTTTGAAATGAATATCCGTGCATACCCGCTGTAGCAGGCCTCTATGCTCGTTCATATTTAGGAAGAAATACATACAGGAGACATTGCATTGTGTGTTAATGATTTTTTACACATAAATCTTTATTAACCATTATTTGCAACTTTTACCTATTTGTAGAAATATCTAGTCTTTATTCCTTTATTCCTCTCTCTTCTTCTTTCACCACCTGCTGTGTTCTGTGTAATAGGCATTAAGGCCACAGAGGTTGATAAAAATGCAAGATCTGCTTCAAGAAAAAATCTCCAATAGCTAAAATACTAATAAAATAATTACCAGGTTAAGCCAAGTACTGTAACTTTTACAACACTGAATCTGCTGAGAGGAAACATGGGTGCTTTATGAAAATGCAGTCTTTTGCTCACAGCAGAGTAAGGAAGTCACCATCGTTCCCAGGTCTGTCCTTGGTGCTCAGCCCTTAGTGCTCCCTGGTTTTTGGCTAAGTGAAGGAGCAGGGAACCTTCAGGGTTGAGGATACCTTTGGACATTATTCTTCTCTAATCTCCGATTCCACTCTGCTGTCTCACTGCTCTGATCATACATCCATCACTGAGATGCTTGGCCTGGATCAGTCTCGCCACCTCACTCTCTGTCAGCCTGTACTAAAAAATGTAAACGTTGGTTGATGTGTCAGTTTGTATACATCGTACAGAAGTCTAAGCTTATGCACTTTGTACCTTCCCCACTTCTATGAGCCATGCTGATTGTTTGACAACTGGAGGCCACACCTTTGGGAGATGGGTCAGATTAAACCAAATTACTGAGTCCTAGGTTGTCAGATTACTGCGATTGCTCTCAGCTCTCCTCTCAGGCTTTGGGACTGCCGTATATCAGAGGGATCCAGGCAGTTTGCCTTACTTCTCAGCGCCAATGTGCCTTCATCTGTAGAGGACAGAGACAGTACCTAACAAGTGGATTATCTTGAGAATCAAGTCAATGAATGAGGACAAAACTGTCTTCATTGCCTGACGTGTGATGATAGTTTACTCTGCAGGCTGTTTTATAACATGCTTTTCTGAGTCAGCCTAAACTAGCTGATGTGGAAAACCCCTAGCTTCCTGTCTTCCCTGTCCCCACACCTGCCTCAGGTTCTTCCTATGTTCTCCCAACACTTGGACCAACAGCTTTCTTCTACTTTTTAATTTTAACCCTTCATTGTTCTCTTTCTGCTTCAGAATTGGAGGGAAAAGCGAGTTCCTTACAGGCAAGTAAGGCATAGTTCCTTTTCCCATTGCAACTGCTTCGTAGTTATCTTCTCCACACGTCTTCCTTACATTATCTTTCTGCATTGCATCAAAACTTTTTAACATCCTGTAGTCCCAAACATTTATGCTTAAATTTTCTCTTAGGATTAGGCCTAGTTCTTCTCATTGCATCAGATTTCATAAAGGCCAACACCAGATAAAGTTTTCTCCTTTTTTATTGATTTGTTGAATGCCTACAATGGGCTAATGATTATGAGGATATAAAGAAGGTAAAGTGTCTTGACCAATGTTGGTAAAAAATTGGCAATGTCCATGATATGATAATATGTCATAATGACATTACAGCATAATCTTAGTGATATTATGGACATTGCATTAGGATTAAGATAAAAACCCTGTGCAAATATGTCCTTCAAAATTATGTGGAAACCACAAAGGATTTCTTTTTCCTTGAACATATGGTAGTTTTGCTTTTAACCTGTAGCAATAGCATTCTTATAAAACTGCTAAGCAATGTATCAAGGGTATATGGAGAATTTATGTTATGTGTGATTCAATTTCTAAATGATATGTTTAGAATAAAGCAAAATATAGTAGAAAATGTTTAGGAAAGTACAGTAGCCAGAAAAATTGAAATTATTGATGCTGTTAATATCCTTTCATTGATACAAACTGTTAATAACATTACTTTTTAAGCAAAAATGTTTATTACAGTCAGACTGTTGCAGGATGCTTCACCTTACAATATAAACTGGGTTAAGTGACATGTGAATTAAATGACATCAATCTTCTGGCATCATTTTGTCCACATCTTTAGGTGGATTTAGCTGGCTTATTGATAACTGCTCTTCCAGTTTTAGCATTCTTTGATTCTGGAATTATTCATGCTTTAATTCACAAACTGTCAGAGACAGGTAAAATTAATGGTAGCAAGGAGGAAAAAAACTTGCATATCTTTCATGAAATATGTACCTCTGTCAAGCATCCCAAGCAGGTTGTGGCGTCAGACACAGGGAGGTCAGCTGTTTGTTTCCATTTCATTGTGCTTCTGAAATAAGACCAACAGCTATCGGGGTCAAGATTGGGACCATTTGCAGTGCTGCATTTTTAAAAATTTAATCATCTCAGGAACGCTATTGCCATCCTTAATCAGTAGCAGATTGATGGAAATTGCTGGTCTCCCAAGAGTCTGAAGTACTCCAGCAAAGAAGTGTGCCCCACAGTTCTAGGGGCCCCACGTACCCCGTGATGTGCATGAAAGCTACATTGTATTCACTCATAATCCTGAAATGCATGGTGGGCTGGAGATGGAGCTCTGTGGTAGAGTGCTTGTCTAAATTTATGAGAATCTAGATTTGATTCCCAGCCCAGAATACAAGAACAAAACCATGAATCATGTTCCTTCCCAAAATAAAGTAAAACAACAGCAACCAGAAAAACAGTGAACGATGCTCCTTACAGTTGTGCTAAATCTTGGCCCTAGGAGCATAAAAAAACTCTGTTTTCTTCCAGAATGAATAAAAAGCTTACTATGTAGTAGCTATTGACCAGCCATAATGTGAGGGCCCTGTAGTTTGCCATTTTTTTTATCACTTTCTCTTCGATGGTAATTTCTCCCCATGGATGATAAAGCATTTTTAGATCACAGTAAAGTCATAATGCTGGAAAAAATAGGAACATAAAGCCCACTTTTTTTTCCTGTGATTGCTTTGAGTGATGTACTAAAGCTTTCCAAACAAACTTATAACCCCATCACTAGTAAGACTAAGAGATTTCTAACCTGTCGAGTCTGCTCTTTAAATCTTTACTTTGATGCTGCATTACTTTAAAGAAAAAGCCGAAACTGATGCACATAAATCTTAAGACTTCCTTCTCATCTTTAATGTTTTCTGTTTCTCAACTAGAAGATGGTATCTTGAGATGTTAAGCGACTGCTAGTATTTTGAAAAATATTCAGTACTGTCAGAGTCAATCTTTTTCTCTGTTAATATGACAGCCCTGATGTGACAGTAGAGGAGGAAGTAGCAAGAACACTGATTGATGCATTTGTTCAGCAAAATAGTTACTGAACAACCCCTCCATGCCAAACACCAGGACAGTCCCTGGACTGTCGACCCAGAGAAAATAGGATCCTACCCTAGAACTCCCTTGTGTTGGTGAGCAGGATTGAGATAGTTCAGACTGGAGCCTGCAAGTGGGTGTATGGTCCCAAATCCGGAGGGTGCTAGGTAGGGGGTTTTGCATGAGGTGGTATGGCTAGTATGCTTTCTAGTTAATAACATGTATCTTTATTTAGACATGACAGCCTTGTGCAATTCTCTGCATTGCAAAGCAGATAGGATAGTCAGCTTTCCATAACTGTAAACAAAAAGGCTTCAGATAATGAACTTATATAGAAGAAAGGTTTATTTCAGATTATAGTTTCAGAGGTTTCAGTCCATGGTTGCATTGGCCTGTTGCTTTGGACCTGTGGCGAGACGGTACGTTATGGTGGAAATGCATGGTAGGAGGAGCTGCTCACCGTGTGGCAACCAGGAAGCAAAAGAGAGGAAAGGGCCAGGATTCCACCATGCCCTTCCAAGGCATCCTCCAGTGACCTGTCTACAAGGGGATACTTCCCAAAGGTTTCTTCACCTCCCATAGCACCACAGGCTGGCAGCAAAGCCACAGGGAGCGATTCTGTAATGCAGCATGGAGATAGATCAAAGACACAGTTCTTATCAAACAGTTTAAACTCAGGTGGTCATGCAGCATCTTTCTTAAGGGTAAGTGAAGAGCATTCTAGAACATGGTCTGTGGAAAAGCCTTTTACAGGACCAGAGTAATGAAGGCACAAATGTCCACAGAATCTAAAGATTCAAGGATTGAATTCCCAAGAATGCTGACTCGGGGAAGTTCTAGGAATGCTTGTAATTCATCTGTTTCCTAACAAATCTACTTGGTATCATGACTTAAAAATTCTCATAATAGAGAAAAGAGTTTAGATCTATGTCAGAGAAAGAAATGTAGCTATTAAAGCCTTTTCCCCTCTTTCATCATTCTCTTAATAATGGGAGATGAGAAATAATGGCCTTCCTTCCAAGTCATAATTACAAATTTTTAAATGAGCCATTTAGAATTTCTCTTTAAAGGATGCAGATTAGTATTCAGTTGCTGCACAGCATGGTACAGACCCAAGAGGTTATGCTAAATGCTATGTGTAATGAAAGGTTTATGAAAATGACAAAGCAGAATAGTATGCCATAAGTCACATTTTCCTTTTTAAAAGATAGCAAATTAAATATGCAGATATTGCCAGCTGATTCATAGAAGGTGCTATCTTAAAATATTTATGGAAAACAAAGACCCATTTCACCTATTAACTGTAGTTAAGGTTTAATTTTAAAGTACAAGCTCTATCTGTGGAGGAGACAAATTGGTTTTTCCAAGTGATTTATATTATTGCATTATGTATATTGTTTTTATTATTTGGACTCATTTACGGGGTGTCCAGATAAAATAAAGATGTATTGATTATCCCTACAATGGTCTCTGCCTCCCACCGCACCAGTCCGCGTGGAGTAGCATTCAGCACTGCCACACGTGCAGCTGCCTGCTTTACATCCGGTGCTCTTTCCAAGTCCGCCTTTGACTCACACAGGTCTTGACTTACTTTATTAATACCGTCCCGTCACGCACACTTTTACTACCTTAACGTTTTTATTCGCTGTGTTTTCTGTTAAGCTCTGTATCACCTTTTAAAATCATGTTAGAAGGCATCTATTAAGCTAATATATTCAGTAGTTCTTTTGACAATCACCACTGTTTCTATTCTCCTGCCCTGCTTTCTAAAATAATGTAAAATAACTGAGTAACAGAGGACAGTTAGAAATCACTCCAGGTCCTGCTAACAGGGGACAGTTTAAACCTTTGAATAGTTAGTTAGACATTAATATGAATATTTCAACACATACTTGTCAATTAATAAGTATCCAAATGCTTGAATTTGTCAGCCTGTATGTAGGGAAAGTGACAGCTAAAGGGAACAGAGTATTTCATTTTCTATCACGTTGTAAGAGATTGCTTTTTTTTTTTAAAGAAAGGGTAAGAAATCCATTCTGCTACATAACACTGGGCAACATTATGTGATACATTTTAATCCCCATGAGAGTATTCATTTGTAAACATATAAATGCAGCTTCACCTGTGATGGCATGCAGTAGAAATAAAGTATATAATGGAATTCAAAGTGTTAAGTTTCCAATTCTCACATTTTAACATAAATGTCATCAGTTTCAAGACACTATATATGAAAAATACAGTTGGTTATTAATTATCAGTAGTTACCAGCTTCCTCTTCACTAGAAGCCTACCAGATTGGATTGGGCTTCAGAAACGCACGTCAGAGCTCGACTTTATTTTGGGTGTTACTACCAAAGCCATGAAATAATTCAGCATTTACTTTTGGATTATAACTCTTGCCATTGTCCAGCTGAGAAATTTGTATCTGTGAAAGACCAGAGGGTTCATGGGAGACACTGAAGCAACGTGTGTTCTGGTCTGTTCCTCTTTGGAAAAAATGAACCGTCCATGTGTCTTCACAGGGGAGGAGATGTGCGCGGGCCTTAAACAAGGCTGCACCCTGGACTGTCCCTCTGGTTTCCTAACCGATGCCCACGACTGTGAGATCTGCCAGTGCCGCCCGAGGCCCAAGAAGTGCAGACCCATCATCTGTGACAAGTACTGTCCGCTGGGATACCTGTACGTATTTCCCAATTCACAACACCTACCAAGGACAGCTTGTTGAAATGTTAACACCCGTTCTGTTAGCTTTCTGTGTGTTAGTGACTGAATCAGTGGTGGTTTAAGTCCAGAATGTCTGTATTGGTTTCGTTAAGTAATTCAGAAGGAAGGGATCATCTCCAAAGATAAGAATCAAGTTTTATTTGACCTCTTTTTTGGAGATGAGCCAGATAATACTCTGGTCTTGTTGTGTGAGGCTTCCCATAGCACCGTCCTTTGGACACTCCTAGGGGGGTGGATATGGACTTGTCATGAGGCCCCACTGCTGTTAGTCCTGCAACTCTTCATAACTGCCATGGGCACTGTTCTAATCTAATTGATTTGTACATAAGGATCAGTTGAAGGTCACTCCTGTAAATATCGAACATCCTGCCCTCTATACTCTGATGTCTAACTTTGGACATAGTCAACACTTGATAACACTTTTTAAGTCAAAGTAGATAATTTCATGGGGAAAATAAGGCATATTTATTTCTTTGGTCTGTATTAACATTTACTTCTGCCTTTATATCAAGTCAATCCCTTAAAAATCACCTTTGATTTGATCCCTGGTACTGAAAAAGAAATCACCTGTGAAAACTTTACTATATCATTGTTTCCCTTTTGCTGTCTTTCTTCTCAATCTTTCTGCCTTTCCCATGTTATATAATGTCAAACTACAAGGGATTTAAATCCATCATCATCTTTCACCCATCTTCTTTCAGTCATCTTTTTTATTTTTTTGAAAATTCTAAGTTTGGGAGGGTAAATTTTAATTCTCATTTAATTTGGGTAATTACATTGGGAATATTCTTAAAAATTAAAATATAAATCCTCATGGTTCCCAGTTCTAAAATATGAGTATGGTACCAATAAAAGTCTAGTTATTCCATCTCTTTCTGTATGTAAAGTATCATCATCCTGATGGTAGTAGCCACAACCATTTGCTACAGTATTATGACAGTTTAGAATCAAGGCCACATTGAAATCCAGCCCACATCTTGGAGATAAATCTGTCGGAAGACGAGAGATTTCACTTTGTATTCAAGGAGAACCCACTTGGCTATTGTGGACACTGTTTTTAAGGACATACTCTGAGAAAGACCTCTTGACCAGATTCCTTATGGGAGCATTAGGCAGCACAGTGAACTTCGTACATGCTTATGGTCAGGATGGATGGATTCATGGAGGGAGAGACAGACAAGAAGAGCAAACAAAGCCTAGGGACATCTTGAAAATGATACTGTATCTGACATGAGTATGAATAATTCGGTATGTTGAAATGAGATCTTCATGATCAGTACTTTCTTCACAAAATGGTTGCTTGTCACCTAGACAGTTGTCACATATCAAAGGTTTCTCACAGGTCTGTCATCTTTTACATCCCCTTCATTGGTCCTGGGTGAGAAAGAATGAGTATTTTCTTTGAGTTGGGAATTACAGCTGGCCACTCAGTGTTAGTTAGGATGAAACGTGAAGGTACACACAGAGCAGTTCCTCCTCTGCCTCCAAGGAGACCAGTTGGGCCGAGACTGTGGAGGAGATGGTGAGCCTGCGAGTCCTCAGCCCTGAAGCTGTGAAAATGAGGCAGCAGTGGGTGGGTGGGTAGGTGAGCTCCTTCGAGCTTACTCTCTGTTTAGGAAAATAAAAAGGATTTGGTTTTTCTGAGCATTTCCTTGTTTAATTCATTTTATGTAATCTTTCTGATCAACACAGGATTTGGGACGAAGGTTCCTCCAACATTTTCTTTTACCTCCAACACTCTTGGTTCATACCTCGTGACTGGAGGCTTTAAAAATCCATATTTTTTTTCCTTATTCTTTTCTAATTAGACCTAATAAAATAACGACTGCACACTGACTGATGAAGGTTTTCATTCTTTGTCAACATTTATGAAGCCTTCCCAGGTCTCTTGAGTTATATCTTCTATAGGTTTCAGTAGATGTATCATTAAATTTTTTACTAGAGTCTGGAATTTCTCAGAGAATGTGTCTTGTGAGGAAGCCTGGGAGTCCAAACAAAAGAAGGACCTTTGTCCCTAATGCTTATCTCCAGTATTGTTCACCCGGAGTTGCACATTCACCTTTTCCTGTGGTGACACCGCTTTTCCTAATTAGATCAAAGGTCATGTCTTCCGGGATTCTGACAGCCACATCCCAGAAACACAGAAGTACTTGGGCACTTCTGAAGCGTGGTCTTGGGTGGGCAGTGGCCATAGCTGCAGGGAGCTAATCACACCTCACCCCAGTAGCTCTGAGAGCAGAACCAAGTCATTCTGCTTAAGCGGCAGTATCCCTTCCTTGAACCCTGGTCTGAGTGCTTGGGCATCATCTGAGACTTTTTGATTTTCTGACCTCTGGCCAAATTTTAATTACCCAGGAAGAATAAGCACGGCTGTGACATCTGTCGCTGTAAGAAATGTCCAGAGCTCCCATGCAGTAAAATCTGCCCCTTGGGCTTCCAGCAAGACAGTCACGGCTGTCTTATCTGCAGATGCAGAGGTAAGTATGAACACAGCCCTGCCCCGCAAAGCAGCCAGGGGCATGGAAACAAAGAACGGAAGGACATTTTGTAAATGAAATAGTTTAAGTGATTGCTACCTACTCTGACACAGTGTCTCTCTGTAGGACCCTCCCATAGGACTCCCTTTTCCTTTCATCTTAATGAAATAAAAGCTCAGAACAAAATTTCAAGTAAGCATGTCATGGATAAGCACATTTGCCAGAGTAATCAGTTCTTAGCTCTGCAGTTTTACTTGTGTCTGGAACTTTAGCCTCAAGCTAAAGTTTATCTCACTGAGCCTACCTGAAGCCTACTTCTGTTCAGGAGTGGTATTGGTACAACTGATACAGTAAAGAGCCTCATTTCATTGCCCTTGAGGGCAGGTGTAGGGTTTCCCAAGCACTTGCCTTTCCAGAGCTGACCCTGGGTATCCCCTCTGCTTGAGACTCTTGCTGCAGGGACATTCCTGAAGCCTTTAACTTTTCTGCCCTTATCTCAGCTAGGGCTCCACCCGTACTGGTCCAGTTTGCTGTAGTTATCACCATGAGACATAGATTAAGCAATAGAACATCCCTGAAGTTTACTTCATGTTTTCTCCAAGTTGAACAGTTGCCACCTTAGTGGTATTTGAAGGGGCCGCAGTTAACGAAAATCTAGTCAGTTTGTTCAGTGGTTGGTTCTGTGGGACAAAAATCGATTAGTTGTAAGGGGCCCAGGATTTCTCCGTGGAGCAGAGCTTGTGAAGTGATGATTCTCCGTATTAAGTAGACATATGAGTATGTGACATCCATTATAAAAACCAGTGCTTATTGTGGAAAATATGACAGAGTAGAGTGAAAAGAGATCAGCAATAATCCTACCAGTAGATGAGAAATGATTTTTCAGTCTTTTGTTTTTTGGGGGGTTTTTTTCTTTTTCTTTTTCTTTTTCTTTTTTTTTTTTTTCATCAAAACTGAGAGCCTGTTAACTTAAATTCCTTTCCTGAGCATTTCCCATGGCACTGACTATTCTCTGTAGACGTAATGCTTGGTGGCTGGGTTCCATTCCATGTAAGGACACTACAGGCCGTTTCTCCTGTGCTGTAGCTGCTTCTTTACCAGGCTGCCTTTGTCTGTCCAGAGGTCCCTGCTTCAGCCGGGCCACCTGTCCTGTCAGGCACATGTCTGTCCATGGATGGCCGTCATCATAAAAGTGAGGAGAGCTGGCATGATGGGTGCCGGGAGTGCTACTGTCACAATGGACGGGAAATGTGTGCCCTGATCACCTGCCCAGTGCCTGCCTGTGGCAACCCCACCATCCGTCCTGGACAGTGCTGCCCGTCATGTGCAGGTAAAAGCTGGCTGCCCTCTCGTGTGCTTCAAACGCAAATGACTTTTACCTTGTGGGGCCTCGTACACACCTGTGACCCTGTGGGAAATGCAGGGGTAGCACCTGGGAGACTTTTCTGTTCTTGTGGCATCTGTTAACAGCAGCCACCGAATCACCCCAGTATGATAAATGATTAGCCAAAAACCAGAGAAAATGCTAAAGCCCTGGAAACTGTTCTTATTTTTGAATGGTTTACTCGATTGTATTGATCTTTGAACTGCTTTTTTTGGAAAGATTTCTGGGTATATGTGCTTAAATCCACCTCTGCATTTTACTAATAGTGCCGTAAGCCTCAATACCTTAGTTAATTTGAGGAAATTGGTTCTAGTTTTATTTCACAAAAGCTTTTCTAGTAATATTGGAGAGGGAGAGAAGTATTGAAGTCTGTGGTGATTACTTTTTCTTAAATTAATGCACATGTGGCACTGTTGCCAAATGAAAAATATCTAAATTGACCAAGACCACACCACCAAGACATGTGAAGTCATAGTGGTAATCAAGATAAGATATTAGAAGAACGGAACCGATCTGTAATCCCTGGGGGTTTGGATTATGGTTGTCAGCAGCACTAGTTATTACCGTAATGCCTCACTAGTAGTGCCTTTTAGTTAAAAAGCTCAGCATAGTTTTATATCTATTATTTCTCCCTCTGTGCGGGTCACTTTGAATTAGGAAGAAAATACATTTAGACTGTCTTTCATTTGGAAAACAGACGAAGAAAAATTAACTCTCTTACCCAAGTAAAATAGCTGGAAGGCCAGGGAGCAGCGAAGTCTCTCAAATGTGACATCAGATTTCTTTTTCTTTTCTTTTTTTCTTCTCTCCTCTGTAGCAGGGTTCAAACTCAGACCTTATACTTGTGAGGCAAGTGTGGCACCACTGAGCTAAATCCCTAGCCCCTGTGTCAGATTTCTTTTAAAGTTTAAATATACTGTTGTGTTTTGGAATCATGATTACCTTTCTTCTGGTCCATCCTGGTCCTGCTTATGGATCGGTCTCTCTATGGAGAAGGTATAGCCAGGAATCTGAGGCTTGGTCCTTTGCAGTAAGGCAGGACTATCCTAGGAAGGAAAGTGTCTCGTGCTGGGCAGGCTGTACCTGCATTCTCTGCTCTGGAAGGGGACAGGGGAAAAGGACAAGTGAAGTCCCTCTCAACTCTGAGGTCCTGCACACCTCAGTAACCATATATGCAGACTGACAGGGAATTCCCACCCCTTTAGAGAAGCAGAGGCAGATAACAGTGGAAAATAAATAGTTTATTCTGTTTCCTCGGGGTTCCTTTGGGTATGCTCTAAATCAAAACTCCCTTTCGTGTATTTTGATAGTTAAATGTAAAAAACCGCTGTGTCCCCTGCATTGAAAGAGAAAGCAACAGTTTAATGAGTTAGAACTGTTTTGGGGGAAGGAAAAATCATTTTCCACCTAAGACCCACTCTTTAGTCACGAGTGTGAGTGTAGAGAGGACAGACCTGCACGTGGCTCTCTGGTAACACATGTCCTCCTCAGTGAGAGTGTCCAAGCGTCAGACTGGTAGAAAAGCAAAGGCATGTCTAAAAACAGATGATTGACCCAAAGCTGAAAGTCAGTGGAACCAGAAACACCTTCATCTGTTAAAGAAATAAGGAAAATCTTATTAAAAATAAAGTTATTGACAAATTATTGTGTGTGACTTTTTAGGTGATATGCATGTAAAAAGCACAGCTCTGTGGATGGCCATGTAGGGGTCTGTTTTTTCCAAAGTCTTTACTTTCTTAGATTGTCATGTGTAGACTATTACGAATAGACTCTGGAGCAGTGGTCCCCATCCTTTTTGGTACCAGGGACCAGTTTCATGGAAGACGATCTTTCATGGACTCCACCCCCTCAGCTGCACCTCTGAACATCAGGCCTTAGAGTCCCATGAGGACTTAGCGTGCGACCTAGGTTCCTCTCTTGCACAGTTTGTGGTAGATCTCGAGCTCCTGTAAAAATCTAATGCTGCCACTGATCAGACAGGAGAAGCTGTAAATACAGAGGAAGCTTCACTTGCTTTCCTACCATTCACCTCCAGTTGTGCAGCATGGAAGGCCATAGGCCAGCACTAGTCTACAGCCATCGTACTCGTGGATTCCAACTTTAAAGAGTATTTTTACCCCTCTCACAGCTGTTGTTGCTGTTCCTGCTACTGCTGCTGCTGTTTTGGGGGTGGTTCTGGGATGAGTGAGCAGCTCCCAAACTCTTCCGTTACAGTAGTCACCAGACAATATTGCCTCATAGTTTTTTCTTGCTCGCGCACCACTCTTTTCTTTCCTGTCCATCTCTCCAGCCCTCCCTTGTGTTTTGGCTGAGGCACATAGGATAGCACAGGAGTTAGGAAGATAGGCCACCTCCAGGCGCATGATCTTTCTCCTGACCACTCCCCTTCATGTCAACATTTATAATGTGGCAGTTATCAGTTCTCTGGAAGCCTATTTTGAATGCAGTCCTGGAAATGATCCATGATCATTTCCCCAATATTAGTGTATGGATGCTCTTTGAAGCATTTTGTTCTTCTTCGTGGAATATAGGAAATACATTTTTATCTGCTTGTCCCAGGTTAATTTTCGTTGTAACTACCTTCCTGCAGTAGGTGCATACGCTTAAAGATTGGTACAGCTGCTTGTAAATGTAAGCATTAATGTAGGGTTTTTTGTGACCTCCCCACTTGGTCAAAGTCCTAGTCTTTCTTAATTCTCTTGAAATCAAAGCTGTATGGAGAGTGAGCTCCTTCACTGGAAGCCGGCCCACACCACCTCATCTCTTGAGTATGGGTGACTCTCATGCTGACCGCTGCTTTGAAAGTGACAGCACTGATCGTCTGCACACAGCATAATTCTCTGGGGCTCCTCTTTCGTGGAGCTCCAGGCCTGAGCTAGCCATGATGTCTCCAGACTATTTCTCAGCGGGATTCAACACTGTTAGCACCTCCTTGAAGTACTTGTTGTATTTGGCCTACGCGAATATGGTTAATGTCTTCATACTTCTCATTTTCCCAGCACAACTTCAGGGCAACTCCTAGTACCTCTTCAGACATTTCAACATTAAATTCCCTCTCTATCATTATCATCTCACCAAGGGACCAAAACCGCCTCTCCTTTGGGGAGAGAAATCATAGTTATCATCAACCTCTCAGCATTTACCTCTGTGGATGGTGATATCACCAAACAAATGTTTAGTCTCAGGTGAGGGTTTCCAGACTGCCGATTCCAAAGGAGCATTCCTGCTCAGAGTGCTGGCGGCTGGCCAGCCAGCTGAGATTTAGGTGTGGCCTGTTGACAGCAGCCGTGTGTGCACACATACAAGGGCTGAGCTCCCAGAGATAATGAAGTGGGCAGGGCATACATCATTTGGAAGTTGTTTAATCTGGAGGTGTATCCATCATCTGGACAACCAAAGACTTCACTCCAGGGCTTTAGCTACACTTAATACTCTGAGCTCAGTTTCCTCCAGTGTACAACAGAATAATAGTGCCTTCCTCACAAGGTCGATGGTAAGGAAAGGAAATGAATAAATGTGAAGTGCTTAGCATGGCACAGTGAGCATTCAGTAAATGAGAGATCTGTATTCTAAACAACCCCTGCGCATCCCCTGAGATGCTCGAACAGAGTCGGTCCACTCCCCGTAATTTAATTTTTGTATTGAATTCGCTTATGACTGTTGATAGATTTAAGCCACTTAAACCTCACTTCTGAGGTGAGCTCTCTGGCCAATGTCTTCTATTTCTATGCATGGAATATTTTTGCCTTCCTCACGGTCTCTCGTTAAGCATAGAATGAAATACTCCTCAGACAATTCATCTTTCTCTCCCTTAAAGCAAACTCCGCCAGGTTCTTCAGGAGTCGGAAAGCCTGCAGGTGAATAAGATTTTGTGTTTTGATTCTGTGTCCTTCCCCAGATGACTTTGTGGTACAGAAGCCAGAGCTCAGCACTCCTTCCATTTGCCACGCGCCCGGAGGAGAATACTTCGTGGACGGAGAGACGTGGAACATCGACTCCTGTACTCAGTGTACCTGCCACAGTGGCCGGGTGCTGTGTGAGACAGAGGTGTGCCCCCCACTGCTCTGCCAGAATCCTGCGCGCACCCAGGACTCCTGCTGCCCACAGTGCACAGGTAACCGCCGCTGCGCCTGACACACTTGGCGGGGAAGGGACGGCCTGGGCACTGTTACCTGTTACAATTAATATGTTAAGGATCAAAAGGAAGTAAGTGGCTAACACTGTGTATATGTATATAAGGACTACTATTTTTTTAAAATCATTTCTCAGACCTTAGCTGGTAAATTTATGATCATAAATTTATGATCAAAAATTATGTCATAATGAAAATTTGGCACAATTTTAAATGTTACTGGTTTTATAATTAAGATACTACTTTCAGTTAACACTAGACTATCTGACTTTTACAAGAGATATTTAATGTGATATAAAAAATCACCAAGTGGGCAGAACATCTGATTTTATTTTGATGTTGCTTAATCTTCCCATCTTTTTAATTTAAATTAATAACTGCTTGTCTTCTGAACATACATCCTTAAATTTTACTGCTCAGTAAAACTTAAACCCTTGTACTTTATTAGTATTTTTTCATATCGGCTGTCCATAATCTGTCATTATATCCCGCATATTCAGTGTCATAACCCTCCCCAGGCTCATGCCGATGGTATCTTTCTGTTGTTGTTGTTATTGGGGATCGAACTCGGGTCTTGCGCTCTGGAGGGAGGCGGCAGCACCACTGAGCTAAACCCCAGGCCCTTGATGGTATCTTTGAATGATAGCCACGTCACTGGCTATTATCACTGTGCATTGTGGCCAGGCGTTAGCACCTGAGTACATAATCTTTGGTGTCATTTATCTGATGAGCTTAATTAGTGCAACATTTTTTCTAAAGTAAGGAATAGTCCATATGTATTGAGTTTTTACGCTATGTGATGTACTCGCACTATATTTTGTATCCTTATCACTTTTACTCATGTTTTCCATTAGCAAAGAGTTGTGACTGTTCCATCTTCCTGGTAGAAACCACTTGAGTGGCCTGTTCACTGGTGACAGTGAGCTTGTCTGTAGCATGTTATTCACCAACCAGGCATTCATGGAATTCCTGAATTGAACCACAAGGATCATCAGAATAATTCAAACAGAAACAACTCCTGTCCTGTGGAGCAGTAGTCCCAAGAGAGGAACCAACAACCCAGTGGTCTGCTTCAAGTAGATAATGATAAGGGAGGCAGAGGAGTGCTGGAGGAGGGCTTCAGGGTACAGTAGCCCGGGAAGCATTAGCTGGAGTCAGAAACACCTGGTGCCATTGGGGCAAGCACTAGTATAATACAGGAATGGCCGTAGAAAAGGTGGTAGGAAGGGTCCATCTCCAGGACCGCTAGCCTAGATTCCTTGGGAGGCACCCGACTGGCCTCAGGTTCAGCGAGGAGGAGAGGGGTACTCCTGAGAATGCCAGGCGTGTGCCTGTGTGACAGGACATCTCCAGCAGACACGTGTGCACAAAGCCCCGAAGGTTCTTGCCTGCCCGGTAAGGCGTGGCATTCCTGCCTTCTTCCTGCAGATCCAACGGCACAGCGAGTTGTGTGCTCTGTGACTTCTCACCGATAAATTTAGGCCTGGGTGTCTATTTTCTCTTTCCATATAACTTGGGGATACTTCGGTGACATCCCTCATCTTAAACCTTAATATGTTTTGTGCTGTATGTCAGTATTCCAGAGGTTGCTCTTACAATGGTAAGAGCGTACCTAGAATAATTTATATTTTAAAATGTACCATCCACCCGTTGATCTTTTTGGAATTTACATAGTTTCCAGAGCGTTGGTTTTCACTGTCATCTCATTGCATCTCCATTGCTATTCCTGCCTCCTCTCCTAAATTTCTAGACCCAAAGTTGGTCATTATTTGCAAGAGCTAAGCCACTGTACCACATAGAATGCTGGTGATTTACAGACCCAGTGTGGAGGAGCATGAGCTGTCCTTATTTCCAGCCAAATAAAAGGTAGCAATGGTGAGAGTCTTTTTTTTTTTTTTTTTTTTGAGACAGGGTCTCACTATGTAGTTGAGCCTGACCTAGAACTCACTATGTAGCCCAGGCTGGTCTTGAACTCACAACGATCTTCCTGCCTCAGCCTTCTGAGTGCTAGAGGATTACAGGCATGCGCCACCACGCCTGGCTGCCAGAGTCTTAAGAAATTCCCCATAGGTATGGCTGACCTTGGAAAGGTCCCCAAGAAAATAACACCATTTTGCCCTTCTAATCTGCTGGGTGTGGATGGGATCTATAGGACTCTACTCAATTGGAATAGGACCCAAGGTGCTTTGCAGGAGAGTGGAACCAGTGACTCTTCTTTCATTGTGTCTGTCTTTGGGACCGGTAATAGGAGAGCTGATTCTAGTTCAAAGAGGAGGTTTTGGCCCATAGCGTTACACTAGCTTCTCTCTGGCCCTCAGAGAGGGCCCCAAATGAAGCAGCCCCCTTGGTCCTCCTAGAGGCACTTCTTTTCAAATCAGACTTCTCCGTAGGGTGTCCCTGTGAGGCAGATGGAAGGAAAATACGACATTTAGAGTTTCTGTGTTGTGTGATAACTCCATGTCTTTCAGTTATTTCTGCTTCATGGCTGAAAATAGCGGAGTTCATGCAGTTGATTCATGAACATACAACTCAGTGGTGTAGCCACTGAAACAATGTCATTCTTTTAGAGGTTTGCTGGGCACAACTATCATGACTATTTCTAGACTCTTGAGTGGTGACGGGTGGAAGTGTTGTCTTTCATCAGAGGAACTGACATTTCTAAAGTGAGACCCTCACTAACTTAACATTTTCCTTTCTTGCATCTCAGTCAGGTTTTTTACTTGGGGGTTGCATTTCTCATTGATTTTAGTGGATAATAAGATCCCAATAGAGATATATACTTCCTGGTGATACTCAGTTCTATTTCATGCTAAAGCTTGGTCTAGGGACCTAAGCCTTTAAGAGGAAATTCACTGATAACTTGCATTCTCTGTGATTTCATCCTTATGTGTGATTTGGATTTCTGTCAGGCACTAATGTGAATGCCTGAACATTGGAATAGGTGTGTTTTGAAAGTCTGGTAACGATGACAATCTGTTCAGGTATCAATTGGTTAGGATGACATGTGGCTGCAAGTAGGAGAAAAGCCCGCTACAAATTTTTAAACAAACAGAGATTCATTTTACCTACCTTACAAGAATGTGGGGGCAGATGTGCAACAGCACCGATTCAGTGGCTCGGTAATGCGGGGGCCTTTCTCTTACAGACATGGTAAAAGTGTTGGCGCTCCAGTCAGCACATGCATACACAGGGCAGGAAGAGAGTGGAAGGGTGGTGGTAGCAACACACCCACCCTTAGAGGAAAGTGAAAGCTTTCCCAAAATCCCCTCCTTGGCCATGGTTGCAGGGGAGACAGGACTGTTCTGATCAATTTACACCATTTTGATCCTATTTCTGGACCACTCTGCAGAAAATTAAGAGTGTTAAGCTGAGGAAAAAGCATAGACTAGTGTGGAATAAGCAACAATCTCTATAATATACCTTTTTTTAATCTTTGTTATTCTGTTTTAATATTCAAGACCTGCCTGAATTGGACTTCCTGATTTGTGACTGAACTCTTTTTTTAAGGGGGCTCCCAGAGCCACAGAAACTAGGTGTGCTTTTAATAAGTCTGTGTGACTCTTACTGTGTTGCCCAGTGGCAGCCTGCACTGTCTCCTTTGCCGACCTGTACGTTCACTTTTCCAGATGAACCTCCTCAGCCTCCATCATCCCATAACGAGAGCCTGCCTAGTTACTGCAGAAATGATGAAGGCGATATGTTCCTGGCAGCTGAGTCCTGGAAGCCTGACGTCTGTACTAGCTGCATGTGCATGGATGGCGTAATTAGCTGTTTCTCTGAATCATGCCCTTCTGTATCCTGTGAAAGACCTGTTTTGAGAAAAGGCCAGTGTTGTCCCTACTGCCTAGGTAAGATCAAGAAAAAAATATTCTCTACCAGGGGCTCCTAGGTCAACTTTGACAGCTGTTTGCTTGGATCAGTTGATATGTTTGAGATTGGCTTTTCTGGTTAATATGACACAGCCCCAGTGTAGGAACCACAAGCGGGGGAAAGATGCAGATGGTGCACTCCCGAGATAAAACACGCTAAGGATAAAGAAGTGCTCGGAGGACAGCACTGTCACACTCTGCTGGCACCCTTTGCTGGTTTAGGCTTTTCATTATCAGAACTCTTCTCTCCACCCCGTTCCTTGCAGTGGCCTTTTGAGTCACCATTTAGTGATAAAGATTGCCTTTGCCTTGAGATTAGCTAAATGTGCAATATTGGTCTCCCTGTTTTTTGTGTCTTGTGATACTTGCTTGAATGTCTTCATGCCACATGGCTGTCAGCATTGATAGCAGAGGCTCACAGCATGAGGCCTGAGTAACTGACAGTCACCTCTCCTTCTTATGACCCATGGTGATACATTTTGTAAGCAGAGGACATGTGTCTATTAGCCCCTAACATCTGCACCAAACTGGTCTTCTGGACGTGGGCCAGAAGTTGTTCCAGAGACCAGAGGCAGGGCTGAGACAGCTGGCATCTCTAATCAAGGACAGTCCCTGCTCCCAAGGCACCCACTCTCTTTTATTGCTTTTGAATCCAGTAATATTCATAAAGTCAAATGAAAGACGGCACATCTCAGTCCGTTAGTGAACCCATAATGAATGGAGCAATGAAAACTTAATGCCCATTGTGCTCATTACAGTTACAGGTGTTGCGCATATATTGTTGGAGACATTGTGTGCTTCCTGGTCACAAACCACAAGTGTTTGGGATGACACTGGCCACAGAGCTCGGTGGCAGTTAAAAACACAAGCTCTGCTCTCAGGAATTTTACGGAGCTAGATTTTCACAGTGTAATGGCCATAGTATTCAAGTTAGGGACACCGGATTCTCTCCTTTAGTATGACCATTTGTATAATTGTTTCTTCAAATTATGATCCTTCTGAGAATGAAATGGAGAGTATTAATAATTATGGGACAACAGCCACAGACCAGGAGTGTCTGTACCAAAACAGGACATGTGGTAGCTCCAGGGAAAGAGACTGCCCGGAAGCTTTGTAGCTCCTCAGTGGAGCCAAAAATATATCAAGGTGTACATCCAATTTAGCACTGCTTACTTTTTCAAAGCACTGACCAAAATTCATACAAATAATGGCACTGCCTTTGGTGAGAACTAAATGACAGATAAAACTAGGCTACAGGAGGGAAGGGTATGGCCAGTATTACCCGACCTACTTATCAGAATTTCGATCCTAAAAGAAAGGATTTTTAAATCAGCCAGCAGCGCTTGGATCATCCTGGGAAAACCAGGGCCCAGGAGGCCTAAGAATTCCATGTCACTTTTCAGGAAAAAAAAAAAAAAAAAAAAAAAAAAATAAA